ACTGGGATTATCCATAACTCTAGAATTGCTTCAATTTATTTTGCTATCATTTTTTTTCTTTTCCTTTACCTTTTTAAATATTACTATCTTATCATTAGTCCCGCCCCCTTCACTGAAAACAAAACAAATCAAAACCCTTATATCAAGTATCTATAGCAAATCAAATCCAAACAAATTCCACCACTGGCCTTGTCTTGAAAACATGTCTATGTCAGTGTGTATCCTAAGTTCATCACTTTTCTCTTAAGTTGTAGGAAGCATCACTCATTACTGCTCACCTGGAATTGTGCTTGGCCATTTCACTGATTAAAGTTGGTGAGTCTTTCAAAGCTATTTTCCTTGACATATCAATGTCATTGTATCTAATTGTTTTATTAATTCTTTTCAATTCACTCAACTTCAGTTCATATAAGCATTCACAAGTTTTTGAAAACAGTCTTTTGTCAATAGAAAGTTAATAAGCCTGTCAGTGGAGAGTTGAGCTGGAGAGAGGACTCCTTGAGACAAAGTATTTCCAGGCCCTCTAGTACCAACAATGGTGAGCAGTCATGATCCAACATGTTCCATATTTGTGTGCCTCACTATTTGTACCCTGCTTTTCTAATGGATGCTACGTATATTTGTAGGCAAGCGAGTCTTAGGTCTGGGTAGTGGGAGGGTATGAGAAAATGCTTTGTTTTAATACTTTCACTACATCATGTTAGTAAATGATGTTAAGAAGAGCCATTTGTGTCTATTATCTGATTGTGATATTTAGGGGTATGGACATAGCACCCACTCCCTTGAGCCTATGAGTAGCAGTTACCCTCTAGAAATCTTCTCGGTGACTACAAGTGTATAAGCGGTATTGCAAATAACAATGCTGAAGGGAACAGGTCCAAAGAAGGACACAGATCCCACCCCAGCACTGTATGAAGACCCTTGCTAGGTTGTCATAAAAAATAAACAACTGAAAAGCAACACACTGGGTAGAATCATTGCATTACTGGTGAAATGACCAGGCTGGTATTACCGAGTCATCAGTTTTTTCTCTATTTTCCACAAGGATATCATAAAAGTACTCATCCTTTCCTTAAAGTCCTAGAATCTTATCGAAGGGACTTCATCAGTCCAAGTCAAATGTACCTGCAACACAGTTACCTCTACAATGTTTCAGATTATAGTCATTCAAGAATGCTCATTAAAATGGCTATTATACTTGGAGTCAGAAGGCCTGTGTCTGAATCTCCAGGTTACGTGGGCTTCAGGGAGTCACTGAACCTCTCAGGGTCTCAGATTCCCCATCTGAAAAATGAGAGGGTTAGGCTAAAAGAACTTCAAGGTCCTTTCAGTTATCAGTCTAGAACCTTATGAAGACCTCCAGGAACGGGGAATTTGCCACCTCCAAAGAAATTGCATTACATTACCAGACAGTCCTAATTTTTTAGACATCCATATTATATTCAGCCAAAGTCTTTTTCCCTTTAGCTTTCAACTACTGGTCCTAGTTTTCTCCCAAGGTGTCAAAGAGACCAAATCTAATCATTCCATGACATGACAAACTTTCCAAAATTTGAAGGCAGTGACCACATTCCTACTTTCTTCTCTTCTTCAGAACCAAGCTCTGCAGTCCCTTAACTGATCTCATGAGCTCCCGTCATTATTGACACCTACAGGGGCATTAGCTTTTGTTTGTTGGCTGGCTCATGTCAGATATGGCCCATCTCAAATAAACAATCACTAACCTTTAAATGCAGGCTGCTCATCACTCCCCCATCTTCCATGTCTCCAGTCACAGCTGGAATGAAGTTACATTATAGCCTTATCTGATCTCCCAGCCTAGCAACTCCGTCAATACTGAATGGAAATTATTCCTAGTAACCTCATATTGTTGACAAGTGATTACTCTTTGCTTTTTGTAAGTATTCTTAAATCACTAGTTAAATAATCCAGTTTTGTATTACAATGCTGATTAAAATAAATTTCCTTTGTCAATAGTTTTCAGAATATCTTTTTGTTTTCCTTTGAAAACTAAAATAACAGAAGCAAAGATGGCAGAGTGAAAGCTGTGACTTGCTTGAGCTCTCCCCCAAACCCCTCCAAATACCTATAAAAAATGGCTATAAACAAATTCTAAAGCAGCAGAACCCACAAAAAGAGAGAATGAGGCAAATTTCCCACCCAAGACAACCTGGATGGTTGACCAGAAAGGTATATCAACCCGGGCTGGTAGAGGAACGCGGTGTGGTGTGGGCGCACAGGCCACAGTGAACCTGGAACAGGTCTCAGAGGACTGATTCTTGGGCAGGTGTGGTGGTTTCCAGACTTCTCAACCCACAAAAACCGAAGACAACTTAGAAAGTCAGTGGGAAAAGTCTGTTTCTGTGGTGAGAGAGGAGCTAGGTCAGAGCCAGCTCCAGAGTGCAGAGCGCACAGCACGGGCACCAGGGCAGTGGCTGCATTCTGAGCTTGCGGCCCACACACTGAGGGGGAATCGAGTGGCTGATCAGAGGGGGACTTCAGAGATCTATTTGCCAGTGCGGAGGCAGGAATCTCTTGCTTTGCTTGTGCTTGAATCGGGGTCACAGTTCTGGGCGGCGGTCCTGGGGTGAGTTGGAGTGCTGGCATGGTGGAGCCTGTACTGGCTGTGAAGAGGAAACCTGCCTCAGAGTTACAGGACAGAAAAGAGTGCTTGTGGTCACTAATAGACCAGAGCACAGGCCTGGAAAGAAGTAAACACCTCACCCCTTATCATACCACCTTGCAAAACAGTGAAAATTTACAGGTCCCTACAAGAATCTCTGAAAACAGCTGTATAAACCCCCGAAGCCTGGGACAGTACATTCTCCACGTTGGAAGCAGACTCTTACCTTAATAAAGAGTTTAAAACTCAAGTAATTGGCCAGGATCATGAGCAAGCAGCACAAAAAGAAGATCAAAACATACAACCAGAAGAAGAAAACAAAGTCAAAGCTCCTACGTCCAAAGCCTCCAAGAAAAATACGAACCAGTCACAGACCTTGGAAGAGCTCAAAAGGGATTTTGAGAAGCAAGTAAGAGAAGTAGAGGAAAAACTGGGAAGAGAAATGAGAGTGATGCAAGAAAATCATGAAAAACAAGTCAACAGTTTCCTAAAGGAGACCCCCCAAAAAAAAATACTGAAGAAAATAACACCTTAAAAAATAGCCTAACCCAAATGGCAAAAGAGGTCCAAAAAGCCAATGAGGAGAAGAATGCCCTAAAAAGAAAAATTGGCCAAATGGAAAAGGAAGTCCAAAAGATTACTGAAGAAAATCCTTAAAAATTAGAATAGAGCAATTGGAAGCTAGTGACTTTGTGAGAAATCAAAACACTGTAAAACAAATCTGAAAGAATGAAAAATAGAAAAATGTGAAATATCTCATTGGAAAAACAACTGACCTGGAAAATAGATCCAGGAGAGAATTTAAAAATTATTGGACTATCTGAAAGCCATGATCAAAAAAAGAGCCTAGACATCATCTTTCAAGAAATTATCAAGGAAAACTGCCCTGATATTTTAGAACCAGAGGGCAAAATAGAAATTGAAAGAATCCACAGATCTCTTCCTGAAAGAGATCCCCAAAGGAAAACTCCTAGGAATATTGTAGCCAAATTCCAGAGTTCCCAGGTCAAGGAGAAAATATTACAAGCTGCCAGAAAGAAACAATTCAAGTATGTGGAAACACAATCAGGATAACACAAGATTTAGCAGCTTCTACATTAAAGGACGCAGGGCATGGAATATAATATTCAGAGGGCAAAGGAGATAGGATTACAACCAAGAATCACCTACCCAGCAAAACTGAGTATAATCCTTCAGGGTAAAAAATGTCATTCAGTGAAATAGAGGACTTTCAAGCATTCTTGATGAAAAGACCAGAGCTGAATAGAAAATTTGACTTTCAAATACAAGACTCAAGTGGAACATGAAGAGGTAAACAGGAAAGAGAAATCATAAGAGACTTATTAAGTTGAACTGTTTACATTCCCACATGGAAAGATGATATTTATACCTCATGAGACCTTTGTCAGTATTAGGGTAGTTGGAGGGGGAAAAATTACTGTATGTATATAGATAGATAGGTAGATAGTAGGTAAAGGGCACAGGGTGAGTTGAAGATTAAGGGGTCATATCTGGAGAATAAAATTAAGGGATGAGAGAAGATTATACTAGGAGAAGAAGAAAGGGAGAAGTAGAACAGGGTAGATTATCTCACCAAAAAAAAAAGAAAAGGCTCTTACAATGGAAGGGAAACAGGGGAAGGTGAGAGGGAATGAATGAATCTCATTCTCATAGGATTTGGCTTAAGGAGGAAATAACATACACATTCAGTTGGGTATTGAAATCTGTCTTACTCTACAGGAAAATGGGAGGGAAAGGGGACAAGAGAGCAGGGGGATGATAGAAAGGAGGGCAGATTGGGAAAGGGGGTAATCAGAAGCAAATACTTCTGAGGAGGGACAGGGTCAAGAGAAAAAAATAGAATAAATGGGGGGCAGGACAGGATTAAGAGAAATAAGAGTTAGTTTTTCACAACATGTCTAATATGGAAGTGTTTTGCATAACTGCACATGTATAACCTATATTGAGTTGCTTGCCTTTTCAATGAGGGTGGGTGGGGAGGGAGGAAGGGAGGAAATTTGGAACCCAAAGTTTTAAAAACATGTTTGAAAAAGAAAGTTTTCACTTGCAACTGGGAAATAAGAAATACAGGAAATGAGATACAGAAGTCTATCCTGCCCTATAGGAAAATAGAAGGGGAAGGGGATAAGAGAAGGGGGGGGGAGATAGAAGAGGGCAGACTAGGGGAAGGGGTATTCAGAATGCATGCCATCTTGGGGTGGGGGGAGGGGCGAGATGGGGTGAAAATTTGGAACTCAAAATCTTGTGGAAGTAAACGTTGAAAACTAAAAATAAAAAAAAAAATTTAAAAAAAGAAAACTGAGATAACATTCTCAACACTTTAACATTTAAAGATATGTTAAAAAATAAAACATACCACATTCTTCTAGTCAAATGTCCACGTATCCATCTTTGGACTATCACAACTGGTGAATTGTGGGCAACAATTTTGTTTATTTTTGAAATAGTGCAATTCATCTGATACAACTCTTTCTCATAGTTTGTATCCTGTATAAAGGGAAAAAAATGCTCAACATTTGTTTCATTCATCAAGTTCTTAAAAAGAATTTCTAAGTTTCATACAAATCATGGCAGTCAATGTATTGAGCATGGTTCTCTTACTGAAAAAAAAAATAATATCATTGAATTTTTTTTTTTAAATTTAATTAGAAGACAGAAAAATCAATGCAACTAAACTGGATTAATTCTATCACCGAAAATATGCTTCAGAAGCATAATTGTACCTGCTCCACTCAGACATGTTTACCTTGACCTGGTGGCCTGGCATAAGGGACCAGATGTTTTAGTTTGGCCATAACTATCTTAATTATTCACATCAAGTTCCTGAGTGGCCTAATACCCTACTGACCTGTAGAGAAACTATGAAGTATGTGAAATTAATCTAGAAATTACCATGCCCATACTAACTTGACATATGATAGTTCAGAAAGCAATTTATAATTTGTTTCCTGTTCATCTGCATCCTGGGATTCCTTTCACTGGAATATGGCACCGTTTCTTGGCAAAGCAAAATCTGTAATTCTCCCAAGAATTGTTATCCATTATTATTAGCCCTCTCCAGGAGCTTTTCCCACTCCAGTTACAGAGAGTGGGGCATGATGAACGGAGAGCAACTGGTTTCTCCTGTCTTCTTCTTGACCCCTATTGGACTACTCTGGCTAATGAGAAATTTGGTCAATGACTCTTAAGCAACAATCTCAAGAAAGGACACTGAAAATCTGACATTTTTATTGGGTAATCAGCAATGCCACATTAAAATGCATTAAGTGCCAAATAGGCCTAAAATGCTAAAAATGTTTATTTTTGTACAAGGTAATTTGCCGACATAAAATGAAATATAGTTCATTATATAGCTAATCCTTTTATTCAGCTGATCAACTGACCAACATTTATTGCTTTCTACATGCTGGAAAAGCAAAGAAAGGCAAAAAGTACTCTCCCCGTTCTCAAGGAGCCCCCGTTCTAATCAGCAGTAACTACCTACATCCAAGACACATACAGAGTAGGTCATCTAAAAGGTGAAGGTCCCAGCAGCTGGGAGAACTCGTAAAGTCTTCCTGCAGAAGCTGAGATTTGAGCTGTCTCGACAGTGAAGCTAAAAGTTGGAGGTAAAGAGAGAGTGCATTCCAGGCATGGAGGAGAGGCCATGAAAAGCTAGGGCATCAGGAGATTAAGTGTTGTGTGTGATAAACAACAAATAGGTCAGAGCAGATGGATTCTTCTTTGTGTATAGGGGAGCTAAGTGTAAAAAAGAAAAAAAAAACTAAAAGGGTATAATGGCCCCAGGAAGAGAAGACGCTTAAATTCCAAACTGAGGAGGTTATATATGATACTGGGAATAATGGGGGCCACTCAAGTTTACTGAGTATTGGCGGGGGGAGGGGGAGATGAGTAACACAGGGGAGGGACATGATCAAGTCTATCTATGTTTTATGGAAATCACTTTGGCATCTGCAGATGATGGATCAAAGTGGAGAGAGACCTAAAACAGGGAAATCCACGAGCAGCTGATTGTCATAGTCCAGATTTGAGGTGATGAGGGCCTGGGCTACAGTGCAGGGTACGTGAACAGAAAGAAGGAGATGAATATGAGAGATTCTATGAAGAAAGAAATGCCAATATCTGATGACAAACTACAGATGAGGACTGAATGAGAGAAAAGTATTGAAAATGAATCTAAGGCTGCAAGCCTATGTGACGGGGAGGGATGGTGCCATTGCCAGTGACAGAGAACTCCAGAAAAAGAGTGGGGCAAACAAAATGAATCCCGTTTTAGACATCCGGGTTTTGAGAGGCCTCTGGGGCACCCAATTCAAGATGCTCAAGAGGCAATGGTAATGCAGGACTCTAGTCCAGGAGAGAAACTAGGACTCTAGATACTGATCTGAAATCATCTGCATAGAAATGATATTTGAACTCATAGGAACCGATGAGGTCACCAAGTGGGATGGTACAGAAAGAAGAGAGGAGAGTCCAGGATATGTCTTTTAGGGATGCAAAAAATATTGAAAGATCAAGAAAATAAGAAAATGTTATTTAACATCATCATCGTCATCATCTTAATAACTTTAACCCTTAGAGAAAAAGTGCAATCTTATGACTAGATTATCTATAAGATAGATAAAATAGTAGGAAATTTTATTTTTAAAAAAGAAAATTAAATTACCAGCACCAAAAGTGACAAAACAATAACTTATAGCCAATGCAGAGGAAATAAAAATAATTATGAGGAGCTATTTTGCAAAACTATATGTAAACAAAACTGATATGAATGAATATTTAGAAAAATATAAATTGCCCAGATTAACAGAATAGGAAATAGAATACTTAAATAAACTTATCTTAGAAAAAAATTTAACAAATAAAACAAGAAATGCCTAAACAAAAAAAAAAAAGGAAGAGAAAGGGAAATCAAGAAAGAAAGGAAAAAAGCAAGAAGGAATTAAAAAAAAGAATCCAGGACAAAATGAACTTAAAAGCTAGTTTTACCAAATACTGAAAAAACAAAACAAAACAATGAATTCCAATACTACATGAATTAGTTTTTTTTAAAAAAATAGGTAAAGAAGGAATCCTCCCAAAGTTCTTCTATGACTCAAATATGGTCTTGATACCAAGACAAGGAGAGTCAAAACAGAAAAAGAAAACTAGGGACCAATATCCCTACATAATATTGATGCAAAGGATTTAAATAAAATATTAGCAAGGGTACTACAGCAATATAGCCTTTCCTTGATGATGAGCCTTCTGATAAAGAAATATTTTGCTTATATTTATTTCATACCAGACTCTATTTTCCATCCTAACCCTACTCCTTTCTTCCTTCTCTATCCTTGTCTAGTAAGTTTAATGTATTTCTACACTAATCTCTGTGTGTGTGCACATATTCCACTTTCCTCTGTTGAGTTCAGTTGAATGGTATTCCTAAGAAGTCATGTCCTTTCACTCCATCCTACAAACTTATGTACTCTTCTTTTACACATCAATTATGTGAAATAACTACACCTCCTTCTTACTCAAGTCTTCCCTAACGGATTCATTTTACCTCCCTTTTTGCTCTCTAAAACCCATCAAAATGCAACAAAATCAGCACCAATTATATCTATACAGAAATAGCATATATACATATATATAATATATATACACATATTATATATATATATATTATATATATATATATTATATATATATATACACACACACATATATACATACACACATAGATAGATAGATAGAAAGAAAAAATGCTACTGCAGAAATATCAATGACATTTTGATGAAGATCCATAGATCTTTATATATTTGAGGATAATTATAGTCACTGTTTTGTGAGAAAAGTGAATGTGCCTTCACCACTAATATTTAGTTTATGAAGACAAAGCCTCAGTTTCATCTCTTTCAAATGAATAATGATGAGAAAATAAGGCAGAAAAACTTATTGAGGACCAATAATTGTGCTTCATATTTTCATCCAAAATTTATTATTTGAGCTCCTTGGTCTAAAACATTAAGAGCATTTTTTTTCACATCTTTTCTTTCCTTATAGAAAGTTGTGATTATTTGAATTCATGAGAACCTCAAAGCATCTCCAGAACTTACTATCTTCAAGGCAAAATTTAATGCTTGCTAACTATTTTAACTAATGGTACACTTCAATATTTAAAAATATATATACATATATATGTATGTATGTTGTACTGTCTTTAAACTATATTACCACTATGCTCCAGGGTAAAAAGCATTGGGTCAAAATAGTATGGATTCATTATGATTTAAAGGAGCTGTATTCATCAGTTTATTTCTAGAATATATCAGTAATACTGTAGATATCAATTCTTGGACACTAAGGATATTAGCTATACACACAAGATAATGTGTATGTGTGTGCATAGAGAGACACAAACAGAAGCAGCTACATATATCTAATAACCCAATATAATAAAACTTTATATATAGACAGTAAGATATTAATATATACATTATGCATACATACATGCATACATACATGTATGTGTGTATGTGTGTATGTATGTATATATGTATTTTTTGGTAACAGGACATCTAAGTAGCATAGTGCTCAGAGCACCAAGCCTAGAGTCAGGAAGACTCATCTATCTGAGTTCAAATCTGGCCTCAGACACTTACTAGCTGTGTAACCCTTGATAAGTCACTTCACTCTGTTTGCCTCAGTTTCCTCATCTGTAAAATGAGCTGGAGAAGAAAATGGCAAACCCACTCCAATATCTTTGCCAAGAAAACCCCAAGTGGGGTCATGAAGAGTTGGACATGATTGAAAATGATTGAACAACAACGGCCTTTTTCTCTATACATTTGTAAGTATACATTATACCTATCTCCCTATGGTAACATATTTTTAAGATTTCTAATCTCTATGAAATTTTCCATCCATTGTAAAATAGCTAATATGAACACATTAAAGCCATCAGATAAAAGATACTCAAAATTGCTCTACAAAAAGCAAAATATTCCTAACAATGTCCTTAGTAGTCTATCCTCTTTTATAAAAGAGGTAATAAAATTAACACAAAAGGCAAGAGGGCTCATTAAAAAAAGCTGGTTAATTTCTATCCTACCTGTCTATCAGGTACTGGCTTTGGAGTCAAAATAGCTATAATTGAATCCTGATCTTGCTCCTAGCCAGATGAACAACACTGGACAAGTCATTTCTACTTCCTGGGCCTCAGTTTGGTTATCTATAAAAATAGGTCTCATGATAATGAAGAGCTCTTCCAACATGAATACTCTCTGATTTTATCATTCCCTTGCTTTATCTCACAAAATACTGACAATCTCAACAGGTTAGAAATGGAACTGAGTACCTATTTTGTAGAAGAATTGTGGTGTGAGTTTCTGAAAACACAAATTTCACTTCCATGTTGCGCCCATTTTAATATTCTTGGGGGAGATTTTTTTTTACAAGTATGACAATCACCCTGGAGCAGGGCCACCTTAGCACCCCCACATTCC